TCTAGGCCACCTTGGTCTACATAGTGAGTTCCAGGCCAGCCAGGGCTACATAGTAAGGCCCTGCCTTTAAAAAAAAAAAAAAAAGGGAAAAAAAAACAACAACACCCTGTTGGGGGTGGGGGGGACAAAAAACCTGCCTGCAGCCCAGGAGTTGCTGCCACAAGGTAGCAAGGCTGGTGTAGGGCAGGAAATGGATACCACTTGGCAGTAGTGCTATGTCATGAGGGGCTCACCTGGTCCATTTTAACCAGTTCTTAAAGTAGCAGAGTATGTGTTTGAAGAGCCCTTTGTCCCAGCAGATAAACTGCTGCTTAATCTTGTCTGAGTGGTGATCCCTCCTGAGAGCCTAATAGAAACAACAGACTGTCAGCCACGAAGATGTTCATGCTGTGCACACAGGCAGAACATGGAATTCAGGCCTGGCAAGCCTCTCCAGGCTCCAGTTGAAGACCTACCCCATTTTTCATTTGGAAACCCTATTTTAAAGTCCTTGTTTCAGTCTACCATTTAGTAGACCCTCCCAAACTCAGGTGTCCTTCCCATTAGTTTTGAACTACGTAATTAACACTTGTTGTTTCATAAATAGAAGTGTGTCCATGTGAACAGGAGGACATTGTAGATGGGAGTCCCCTGGCTTGCTCAGACGTGTCCCCAAGTCTTTTTCAAGATCTTCCAAGCGAAAGGAAGACAGACGAAGGGGACAGCAGACTAGCTGCTTTCCACGCTGCCTCTCCTAAGAGGCTTCCTGGTGAAGTAGCTCCCAGCTAGCTGTTCCCTGGCTCAGCCTACTGACCAGCTGGCCACATCTACAGAGAATAGCTGTAAACATCCTCAGGAGCATGTGCTTCTCCTCAAAGAGACCTTTGTGCATTTCCAGGATAGCAGGGTGTGTTCACCAAAGTCATAGCACCACGACTTGTAACTTGAGTCTTGCAGCTAGATTTTATTGCTTTCTTCCTCTAAAACATTGCTTTCTTTACCCACAGAAATAACCCCAGTACAGATAGACAGAAGGGCAGAAAACCTGAATTGGGGAAAGTATTGTGCCCTTCCTGGGAATTTTTAGGGTTTGTGGCAAGGTCTTGCTCTGTAGCCCAGGCTGGCCTTGAATTTATGATCTTCCTGCCTCTCCTGGGATTATAGGTATGTACCATTGTACCTGGCTACCTTTCAGGTTTTATATTTAAATTAAAATGAAACTAACAGAACTCTTTCAAAACAGCCAAGCATTTGAGGCCAGCCTGGTCTACATAGTGAGTTCCAGGATAGCTGGGGCTACAGGGAAACCCTATCTCAAAAAAGGCATGAAGCTAATCCTAGCATTGGGGCAGCAGGATTTCTGTCAGTTTGAGGAAAGCCTGGGCTATATAGCAAGCCCTCATCTTAAAATTTTTAATGTATTTTTTTATGTGTTTGAGTGTTATGCCTGTATGTGTATGAGTGCACCATGTTGTGCAGTGCCTGAGGGGATCTGATCCCCTAGAACTGGAGTTAACAGTTGTGGGTGCTGGGATTCGAACCTTGGTGTTCTCCAAGAACAACCCATGCTCTTAACAGCTGAGCCATCTCTCTAGCCCCTTAAAATTTTTTTTTAATTAAAAACAAGACCCACTTCATTCAAAGTAATCAGTCCATGCAGTTTCTAATTTGTTAAGGGGAATTTTGCAAGACAAGCTCAACTTTGCATATGACATATAAAATACATCTTAAAATATCTTCTGATTTTCCTTTCACAAGAAAAACTTCTAGTAGATAAGCTTATTTTTTATTTAATTTTTATTACATTTATTATGTGGGGGAGAAAGGCCACTTGTATCAAAAGTCCTGAGTAGAGATCAGACAACTTGGAGGAGTTCGGTTTTAGATTTGTTATAGACAGTTGTTAACCACCATGGGGGTGCTGGGAACTGAACCCCAGTCTTCTACAAAAGCAGTCAAGTGCTCTTAACCACCAAACCATCTTTCCAGCCCCCCAAGCTAGGTTTTAAAAAATTAATTTTGCTGGGTGTGGTGGCGCATACCTTTTATCCCAGCACTTGGGAGGCAGAGGCAGAGGCCAGCCTGGTCTACATAGTGAGTTCCAGGACAGCTGGGGCTACAAGGAGACCCTGTCTCAAAAAGACCAAAAAAAAAAAAAAAAAGTTAATTTTGAGACAGGCCTGGAACTCACTATGTAGACCAGGCTGGCCTTGAACTCACAGAGATCTGCCTGCCTCTGCCTCTTGAGTACTAGGATTAAAGGCCTGTACAACCATGCTCCACCTTAACCTCTGCACCTCTTGAGTGCTGTGATTAAAGGTATGCACCACAACACCGAGCCTAGAAATTAATGTAATGTACATTATTTTCAATTTCTGTGCACATGACTCTGAATCTATGCCCTTTCTCAGTTACAGTTTTGTATCTCCAGCTGCTTACTAGATGCTTTTCTTAGGATCTTATTACGACAAACTTAGCTTTTCTAAATTTCAAGTTTAAATTTCCAAGACCCAAATTCTGTCAGGACACATTTTTTTTTCCCTTGTTATGAAAACTAGCCAGCATCTTTAATCATTCTTTTTCTTTAGTTACTAAATCTCATAGATTATTTTCTCTCTTTTATTTTTTTGTAGACAAAGTCTCCCTCTGTAGCCCAGGCTAGCCCTGATCTAATTATCCTCCTGCCTCTGCCTTCTAAGTGCTGTGATTACAGGCATAGGGCACCATTGTCTCATCCAAAAATTTTAAAAATTAAAAATCGTTTTGTTGGTGTGTGTGTTTGTGTGTGCACAAGTAAGCACAGGTACAGATGCAGGAGTTTGTGTGTACATATGGAGGCCAGAGGTCAGTGTGGTTATCTTTCTCAATTGCGCTCCACTTTTTGAGGCAGGGTCTTCCCTGAACCTGGAGCTCACCACTTCAGCAAGACTGATTGACTGCTGAGCCACCAGAGGTTTGCCTGTCTTAGCCTCCCCAGTACTGAGGTTAGAGGCTTGTGCCACTGTGCCCAGATTTTCCATCAGTGCTGAGGGTCCAAATGCAGGTCCTCATGTTTGTGTGGCAATCACTTTATCAACTGAGCCATTTCCCCACTCCCATTACTTCGTTTGTTTGCTTTGTTACTTCTTTTTTAAAATCTTGGTTTGGGTTGGGTTGGTTTTTGAGATTGAATCTCTTTAATCTCAGCTGGCCTGGAACTTGGTATGTAGACCAGGCTGACATCCATATCACAGAGCTCTACTTGTCTCTATACCCAGCCCAACCCCATTAATTTTTTAATGTATGTTCTTGGGGCTGTGTTGTTACTGTTGTTTTAAATATTTTATTATTTTAGATGTGTGAGTGTTTTGCTAGCACATACGTAAGTGCACCATGTCATACAATGCCCATGGAGGCCAGAAGAGGGCATCAGATCCCCTGGAACTGGAGTTACAGGTGGTTGAACACCATCATGTAGGTGCTGGGAACTGAACCCAGGTCCTCTGCAATAGCAGTCAGTGCTCTTAACCACTGAGCCATCTCTCCAGCCCTAAAATGTTTTTAACATTCTACATATTCTTTCTCTACTGTCCCACAGAGCTAATCCCTAATCCCTGAATTTTGTTCTCTGTCTCCTTAATCCCAGGCATTGATACCTCCTTTCTGCCTTGTCCATAACCATTATCTCTACATCCAGTCCATCCTTCCCTCCTTCACACTGAGATTTGTCATCCTGGAGCACTGCTTTGTTGACCTGCATTTGAAATCTTTATGCTCTCTTATCTGCCATCTGCCAATTCCATTAACCTGGCATAGGAGACACAATATCAGTTCTGGATCTCAGCTCTGTCACCTTCTGCTTTCAGGGTTTTTGTTTTGTTTCATTTTTCTTTTTTTAATAATTTATTATTATCAATTATTATTTTGGTCTTTTTGACACAGGGTCTCCCTGTAGCCCCAGCTGGCCTGGAACTCGCTATGTAGACCAAGCTAGCCTGGAACTCGGAGATCAACTTGCCTCTGTCTCCCAAGTGCTGGGATTAGAGCCACCAGGCCAGGCTATAATTTATTATTTTTATTTTATGTGTATGAGTGTATTACCTGCACGTGTATAAGTACACTCCTGTTACCCACAGAGGTCAGAAGAGGGCGTCAGATCCCCTGCAACTGGAGTTAGGGATGGTTGTTAGCCACCATGAAGGTTCTGGAAATCGAACCCAGGTCCTCTGCGAGAGCAGTCAATGCTCTTAACTGTTAAGCCATCTCTCCAGCCCCATGCTTTGTTTTTCTTTTCGAGATAGGATCTCCCTGTAGCCTTAGCTGGCCTGGAACTCACTATATAGACCAGGCTGGCCTCCATTTTACAGAGATCTGCTTGCCTCTACCTCCTGAGTGTTGGGAATAAAGGCATGTACCACCATGCCCAGCAACTTTCTGCTTTCAGTGAAAGCACAAAGCAGTGCCTGAGAAAGCCTCAGCCCTCACTTAGAAGGCTGTATCATTCCCCTGATACTGAATCCATATGTGGTGGTGATGTATCTAAAGAACCTAGCTCAGTACCCAGCTCATAAGAGATGCTCAATAAATAATGCTGTGAGGATAATAGCTCATTGGTAGAGCACCTGCCTAGTATGAGCATGGTCCTCACCAGTGCAAAACCAAAAATGTTTGATATATTAACATATGTCAGACTTTGTACTAAGCACTGTATTGCATTCACTTACTCAAGTCTGCAAACCTCCCAATGGAATAAGTACTATTACCATGTCCATTACACCTGAGGAGGCTGAGACAGCAGGCAAATGGCAGAGGTGAGGCAGAGCTGAGCACTGGGACCTGTGTTCATTTGTTTGTTGGTTTTTTGGAGACAGGGTCTTGCTATGCTGCCACAACTGGCCTGATACTTGTTATGTGACCCAGACTGGTCTCAAACTGGAGGCAATCCCCCTGCCTCATCCTAGAGGCAATCCCCCTGCTAGTATTACAGGTATGGGATACTATACCCAGCTTTTGCTTGTTTTGATGTTTTCATATATTCCCAGACTGGTCTCAAACTCCTGGACCCAGCTGACTCACCTCAGCTCCTGAACAGGTATGTACTACCACACCCAAGTGAGGACCTGTGATCTTAACTATGCTGTTTCCAAACAGAAATGTCTTTATGGCCAGTGTAGGTAATAGGAAACCATGCCCTTTTTGGCCTTGACTGTATCAAGATTGAGACACTCTTAGCCTAACACCAGAAGTAGTAGTATGTGTCATCATCGTCATCCTCCTTCTTCTGTCCTCCTCCTCTTCATATCTGTTGTCTTTCTCTTCTTCTCATTTTTATGTTTTGTTTTGTTTTGTTTTTTTGAGACAGGGTCTTACTCTGTAGCCTAGACTGACCTGGAACTCACTGTGTAGCTGACTGTCCTTGAACTCAGAATCTTTCTGCCTCCTGAGATTACAGGCCTGAACCCCCACAATCAGCTTTGAATAATTATTTCTTCAGTCTGGATTTCCACCATACACCCTCCCAACCTTTCCCTTTGCTGACTCTGATACTTCCAAGAAGCCCTGAAGGTCTCTGTACTGTTTCCACCATTTCACAATTGAAGAAACAACTTGAAGAGTTCCAGTAATTTATTCCAGACTGAGCTGAGGAGCTGGGGACTTGAGATTGTAACCCCAAGTGTGAAGGCCCGAGTTCTGACCTGAAATAAACTCAGACCTAGACCGGGAAACTTCAGTTCCCTGAGAACTTGGATGTTCTTCTGTAGTGATTTTTATCATGACACTGACAGTTCCTTGAACCCTATTAAACGTACATAAGTAAGCTTGTATAATAAGGCTGTGTAACTAATAAAGTTATAAGTAAAGAACAGAATGTTTAATAGGCATGGAAGGATAGGTACGATTCCAAAAAGGGCTGAGCCCGGGGAACACAAAGGTACTGCAAATATCATAAAAGTATTGTAAATATCATGATGAGGTAATTTGGCTTGAAAAGAACATTTTCTTTTCCTCTTGTTGTACTATAAATAAGGATGATTCTTAGAATAAAGCATGCATTGGTTCACATGCCTCTGCATCCCCTGCGTCCTGATTTCTTCTGCACCTATACCTCTGGGCCCCCAAGCCCTTCAGGCTTGAATTGTGGTCATTGACAGGTGACACCCAAGGTTTTGCCTTTGTCAATTAAAAAAAATATCCTGAGGCTGGGCTATGACCCAGTTGGTGAGGTGTGCTTGACTAGCATGCATGAAGCCCTGGGTTTGCTCCTTAGCACAGAGCAAATCTGGCATGATGGTACACACCTGTAATCTCAGCAGGAGGTAGGACGATCAGGACTTCAAGATCATTCTAGTGAGTTCAGCTTGGGCTATATGAGACCCAAGGCCCAGATCAGAATGAGAATAGTTTTTGCTAGCTGCCTGTTAGTGACATAAGCCTGTACCAGATTGACCCAGTCCAGAAGGCACAGACTGAATGTTGGGGTTGATTTGAGGAAAGTGTATATAGAGCTGTGGGAGCATTGGCCTGGCACAGGTCACAGTAAGAATAACTCATTTCTTGGATTGTTCCATTAAAGCTCTTAAAATCAAATGCCATGCTGGGCATGGTGGCAAATGCCTTTAGTCCCAGCACTTGGAAAGCAGAGGCAGGTGAATTTCTATGAGTTCAAGACCAGCCTGGTCTGCATAGCAGGTTCCAAGCCACCTGGGTCTCTAGGGAGACCCTGTCTCAAAAAAAAAAAAATTATATATATATATATATATATATATATATATATATATATAAAACTTTGGGACCCAGAGAAGGCTCAGCAGAATCTGATACCCTGTTCTGTCCTCTATGGGCATTACACAACACTGGTACACTTACATGCACTCAACACACTCATGAACATAAAAATTTTTTTTTTCCTTTTTTTAAAGACAGAGTCTCCCTGTTGCCCCATCTGGCCTAGAGCTCACTGTGTAGACCAGGCTGGCTTTGAACTCACAGAGATCCGCCTGCCTCTGCTTCCCAGGTGCTGGGATTAAAGGCGTGTACTACCACGCCTGGCCATAAAAATTTTTTTAATAAAAACAAAATTAGAATTTGGGGGCTGGGGGATATAGCCCATTGGTAGAACACTTGCCTAGAATGCATGAGGCCCTGGGTTCCAACCATGTACCACACAGAATAGATTAGCTAAAACTTGGAACTTTAGGAGCCACAAATGTAGCTCAGTTGGTAGAGAGCTTGCTTAGCTTGCATAAAGCCCTGGATTCAGTCCCTAGCACCACATTAATCAAGTGTGGTGGCACACGTTTATAATCCCAGTACTCAGGAGGTTAATGCAGAAGGATCCATTAGGAACCAGCCTGGGCTATATGAGATCCTGTCTCAAAAAAATAAAAATTAGAAATTTAATAGAATTGTGGTCATTTCCCACAACTACTATTCATCCTGTATTTTGCTTTCCTCATAGACTTTGATGCTTTGCAGCATTTTCCTGGGTCTGAAAGTTTTTATGTCCCTGGATACCAGAATTTGCTGAGATGGAGGAGCCTCAGAAAAATGATCTGAACACAACAGGCCAGGAGGAAGGTGACCATCTCAAAGGCACCGGCCCTCAGATTTCTGTTAGCGAGTTTTCTTGCCACTGCTGTTACGACATCCTGGTTAACCCCACAACCCTGAACTGCGGCCACAGCTTCTGCCGACACTGCCTAGCACTATGGTGGGTGTCTTCAAAGAAAACAGAGTGTCCGGAATGCAGAGAGAAATGGGAAGGTTTCCCCAAAGTCAATATTCTCCTCAGGTATGGTCCTGTTGGCAACAATGACTCTATAGTGTGGTGTCTCTTTGTGGGTACTGCTGTGTGAAAGGACCAGGCTCAGGCAGACACATGGGGTCACTTACTGGAAGTCAGCACCTAAAATTCCAGACTCTTTTCCTCACAGGTGACTGCAATCTGTCATTTTGTTTTATTGCTTTGTTAAAGCGTATATTCATTGAACAAAATGAAGGATTTCATTGTGACTTTGTATACATGTATATCATGTACTGTGCCCATATTTACCCTCCCCATTACTCTCGTCTTACCCCTGCACCCACCATTTTTTTTTATTATTGGAAACAGGTCTCATTCTGTACTCCAGACTGGCTTTGGACTAATAATGATGCTCTTGCCTCAGCATCCCGAGTGCTAGGATTATAGGCACGTACTACCATGCCTAGCTGATTGACATTGATTCTAAAAAAGGGAATAAAATTATTTTCTGGTTATCAGACCATTGCTTATTTTATTTTATATTTTATTTATTTTATTATTTTTTTATTGGTCTTTTTGAGACAGGGTCTCAAAAAGACCAAAAAGAAAACCCAAAACCAAACAAATCAAAAAAAAAAAAACCCTTTGTTTATTTTTATTTTGTGTGAATGAGTGTTTTGTCTGCATGCATCTAAGTGTACCCTGCCATGCAATGCCCCTCGAGTCTAGAAGGGGGTGTCAGATTCCCTGGAACTGGCATTAAGAATGGCTGCCAGCTGCCATGTGGGTGCTGGGATCTGGGATCAAACCCAGGTCCTTTGCAAGAGTAGTCAATGTTCTTAATCACTAAGCCGTCTCTTCAGCCCCAAACCATTGCTTTTAATCCCTTCTTATTGGTTTATGAAGGAGCTGTACAATTAGGAATGACTGGTGCTGATTTTCATAACCTAAAACAAACCCTGTTTCTATTGTCACATTAGTAGAGCCTTTCACACAGCCAACAGTAAGACCTCTCAGATAGCAGGGTCTCTGCTTACTTGCAGTCACAGTGCTCGCAGAGGGCCTCTAGAGCTTCCATCTTTGTCTTCTCTTCTGTTGCCTGAGCAATGTGTCCAGCCTTCTTGATATCAGCAGAGTACCCAAAAGTTCATGAAGCCATTAACCCAACATTCTCTCTTGTACAGTGTGTAATTACACTTTGGTCATAACTGTCAGCTTTACATCACCTAAAGATTAATCTTACATAGCTGGGCATGGTGGCGCATGCCTTTAATACCAGCACTCAGGAGGAAGAGTCAGCCTGGTCTACATAGTGAGTTCCAGGCCAGCCAGGGCTACAGGGAGACCCTGTCTCAAAAAATAAATAAATAAATAAAAGATTAATCTTACATTAAAAGAGGACATACAGGTTTTATAAAATTGAAAATGAAAAGAACACCACAGGGGGGCCAGCAAGATGGCTTAGTGTATAAACACACTTGCCATCAAAACTAATAACCTCAGCTAGATCCCCCAGACCCATGTGGTGGAAGGAGAGAACCAGCTCCTGAAAACTGTCCTCTGACCTCCATGCATGTACCATAGCACACACAGACACATGCACACACACAAAATAAACAAATGTAATAAAAAATTTTAAAGAGCCCTATAGAATAGCCTGGGTTACTATTTCCTTTCCTGTTGAATTTCACTTTTTTCCTTTCCTGTAAACTAACTTTTATGATACTAGCATCAACAATACACATATACACACATACACATTTATGTGCATCTTAAATGAGCTTTTTTAAAAAAAATAGGATCTCGCTCCCTATAGCCGCAGCTGGCCTAGACCTCATTGTGTAGATCAGGCTGGCCTCGTTCTCAGAGAGATCCACCAGCCTCTTCTTCCCAAGTGCCATGTTTAAAAGCTTGAGCCATCGTGCCCAGCCTTTCTTTTGTTTTGGGGGGTGTTTTTTTGAAACAGTTTTACTGCGTAGACCAGGCTGGTAATCACTATGAAACCACAGTAATCACTATGAAAACCGTAGTAATCACTCTGCTCAACCTCCAAATGCTGGAATTATAAGCATTAAAAACCATGTCAAGCTCATTGTTATTTGAAGATAGTAATCAGGATCCCTCCTCTTCCATCTTAGAATCCTTTCCCTTTTCTCTAGAGTAATTTCAGTTATGTTTTAGTTGTGATTTCTTTCATATTTAAAAAAAATACTTGTGAAGGAGGCTGGAGAGATAGTTCAGCAGTTAAGAGCACTTGCTGCAGAGAGCCTAGATTCAGTTCCCAGTAGCATGGCATCTCACAACCACCTGTAATTCCATTTCCAGGGGTCTAGTGTCTACATAGTGAGTTCCAGGCCAGGTGGGGCTACAGGGAGAGCCTGTCTTAAAAAAAAAAAAGACCAAGAAAAAAAAATGTTAAAATGTAGTATTCTACTGTAAAAATTCAGTACCATATTTCAAGCTGATGAGATGGCTCAGCAGGCAAAAGCATTGGCCATGAAAGCCTGATGACCTGAGTTCATTTCCCAGAACTCATGGTGGAAGGAGAGAACCAACTTGTGAAAGTTGTATTTTGGTCTCCTCACGCTTAAACATGTATCATTCACATCTAGGGCCCATAATCATTGTAAATAAAATTAAATTTAAAAAACCTACCAAATTTCAGGGGCTGGGCTGTAGCTCATTTGTTGAGCACTTGCCTACCATGTATGAAGCCTCAGTCCCCAGTACTTCCAGTGTAAAAGAATATCCCCTATTTCATTTAGTTGTTTCCTTAATGTGGACATATAGACTATTTCTAATTTTTCCCTTTTACCATAAAATAGAGCTATAGCAAGAGTTCTTTTCCATTCTTGTAGGCACCTATGTTTATTGGAAAGTGTTGATATTAGTGGTTTTAGTCTCTGGATTTTGTAGTCAGACGCCTGTCATGTGATTTTTCTCTCTATTCCACAGGGATGCTATTGAAAAGTTGTTTCCTGATGCCATTAGGATGAGAGTTGAAGATATTCAGCAGAATAATGACATAGTCCAAAGTCTGGCATCCTTTCAAAAATACGGAATTGATCAGAGTCCCTTAGCTCCCAACACAGGCCGAGTGAATCAGCAGAGAGGAGGGGGATTCTTCTCTGGTGTGCTCACAGCTTTAACTGGTGTAGCAGTAAGTCTGGCTGTTCTCTGCCCCCTGGTTCCCATTGAAACAATTTCTTCTGATGTCACATAAAACAGTTGATGTCCTGACTGTATAACTCAACCGTAGAGATGAAAATTCTGTTGTATAGGCCGGGTATGGTGGTGCATTGCCCCCTGGTTCCCATTGAAACAATTTCTTCTGATGTCACATAAAACAGTTGATGTCCTGACTGTATAACTCAACTGTAGAGATGAAAATTCTGTTGTATAGGCCGGGTATGGTGGTGCATGCCTTTGATCCTAGCACTAGGGAGGCAGAGGCAGGAGCAGGTGGATCTCTGTGAGTTCAAGGCCAGCTGGGGCTACAGGGAGACCCTATCTCGAAAAAGATCAAAAAAGAAAGAAACCATATCTGCATTGATGATAGAATCTTTTTTTTTTAATTTTTAATTTTTGTTGGGCATGGTGGTATACACCTTTGATCCCAGCACCCTGGAGGCAGAGGCAGGCAGATCTCTGAGTTCAAGGCCAGCCTCGTCTACATAGTGAGACCAGCTGGAGCTACGGGGAGACCCTGTCTCAAAAAGACAAAAAAAAAGAAAAAAATTTATTTTTATTTTATGTGTATAAGTGTATTGCCTGCCTGCATGTAAGTGCACCTGTGTTGTGCATTCCCACAGAGGTCAGAAGAGGGCATTGGATTCCCTGAAACTGGAGTAATGGATTATTGTTAGCCACTATATGGATGCTAGGAACTGAACCCCAGTCCTCTGTAAGAGCAATCAGTGCTTTTAATCACTGAGCCATCTCTGCAACCCCTGATGATAGAATCTTAAGTGCACACATTTCACTGACTGCAAGGTACAGAGAACTTAAAGTCCAGAGATATGAAAATCTTAATGTTTTCCCCAAAGAAAAGGTATATGAGTTGGTGGGGTCAAAGGTGCAACTATAGCTGGGTGTGGTGGTGCACGCCTTTAGTCCCAACGCTTGGGAGGCAGAGGCAGGCAGATCTCTGAGTTCAAGGCCAGCCTGGTCTACATAGTGAATTCCAGGCCAGCTGGGGCTACAGGGAGACCCTGTCTCAAAAAGACCAAAAAACCCAAAACAAAACAAAACAAAAAAAAAGGTGCAACTGTTCTTGGAGTCTCTGTCATCTGCCCTTTCTAGATCTTTGCCTTTCACTGCCTAGCCATCAGCAGAGATGAGTGAAAATTGTGTCCCTAGTTCTTTGTGGAAGTAGCATTACCAGCTTCCTTGTATAGATTTGGCATCAGTCTTCAGGCCTAGCCCCTGCCTTTCCCTCACCACCTTCACATTCCCAGAAATGCTGACCTCTCTTAACAACTTGTTTCCTTTCCAGGTGGTTCTGCTTGTGTATCACTGGAGCAGCAGGGAATCTGAGCATGATCTTCTGGTCCACAAGGCTGTGGCCAAATGGACAGCAGAAGAAGTTGTCCTCTGGCTCGAGCAGCTGGGCCCTTGGGCCTCTCTCTACAGAGACAGGTTTTTGTCTGAAAGAGTAAATGGAAGGTGAGGAGAAAATCTTCTGGCACACATAGACATTTTGGTAGATGGTTTTATTGAGATACATTACACCTGCCACAAATCCCTCCTTTAGGAGTTTATACACATTGATTCATATCATAATATGTTCACAGAGATGTACAACCATCTCTAGTCTGTCTGCCTTTAGAACAGTTTCATGACCCCAAAAAGAACCTTTCACTTGTCAGTCCTCATTTCCTTCTCCCTAGGCAGATACCATTTATCTGTCTCCAAAAATGAATCTGCCTGTGTGGCCCTTACATATTAATAGAATCATACAATAGGTGACCTTTGTGTCTAGCTTTTTCACTCAGCATAGTTTCCAGGTGTACATATGATGTATCATATAGCAGTGCTTCGTTCTTCTCCATGTCTGAAAAAACTCAGTTGTATGGTGTTCTAGTTTCTTTTTGATTGCTGTGACAAAACACTCTGACAACTTGGGGAGGAAAGGGTTTATTTTATCTTACATCTCCCTGGCCATCATTTATTACTGAGGGAGCCCAAGGTAGGAACTCAGGGCAGGAACCTGGAGGCAGGAACTGAAGCACAGACCATGGAGGAATGCTGCTTACTGGCTTGGTCCCCTGGCCCATGTTCAACCTGCTTTCTTATACAATACCAAGCCCACCTGCCCAGGGATGGCACCACCCACTGTGGGCTGGGCCCTCCCACATCATTCAACAATCAAGAAAATGCCCCACAGTCATGGCCACAGGCCAGTCCAATGGAGGAAGTTCCCCAGTTGAGGCTCCCTCTACCCAGGTGTGTCAAGTTGACACTAAAGCTATCCAGCACATTTGGATAGACCAAATTGCTCTTATCATTTCTTCATTTGATAGTCATTTAGGTTGATTCTGTTTGAGGGCTGTTAATGAAAAGTGATGCTGTGATCATCATATATAGTTTTTGGGAATGGGGTTGTGGAATTTTGTTGTTTTTGTTTTGAGACAGGGTCTCACTAATATACTACTGACTGGCCAGGTCAAAGGATAATTCTGCTTGCTCTCTAAAGAAACTGTTGAAACCAGGTGTGGTGGCGCACACCTTTAATCCCAGCACTTGGGAGGCAGAGGCAGGCAGAGACTCTGTCTCAAAAAGACCAAAAACCCAAAGAAACTGTTGAAGTGTTTTCCACAGGGGCTGTACCATTTTATGTCAGTGACATTTGTTACTTCTTATTTTGAAAGTAATATTTTTTTTTAAATAATGTAAGGGGCAGGACAGATACCTCAGTGGTTATGAGTACTGGGTGTACTTGCAGAGGACCTGGGTTCAGTTCCCAGCACCCACCCATCCCATCAATAACTCCAGTTCCAGGGGATCCAATGCCCTTCTGACCGCCGCAAGCACTGCACCAACCTACATGCAGGCAATACACTCTTGATATACACAAACAAAACAAACAGCCCCTCCCACATTTATGTAATTGTCTAAATAGAAACAAAAACCTAGTGGGGGTATTGTAGAGCACAGATTAGTGGTAGAGAGTACAGATAGCATGCTGAAATCCCTGTTTGATTCCCAACAACAGTCCCTCCCAAGAAAAGGCCCCAAATTCGGAAAGATGTTGGTTGTGTTAGATAACTTTAGTTGTCAACCTGACATACCTGGGGAGAGGGAACTCCAATTGAGGAGTTTCCTCCACCAGATAGACCTGTGGGCATGTCTGTGACACATTTTCTTTCTTTCTTTTTTTCTTTTTCTTTCCTTCTTTCTTTCTTTCTTTCTTTCTTTTTTCAGTGTTTTAATTATGTGAATCAGTGTCATGCCAGCATATATGTGCCATGCAGTGTCAACATAGGCCAGAAGAGGGCATTGGATTGCCTTGGAACTGAAGTTATAGATGGTTGTTAGTTGCCATGTGGGTGCTGGGAACTGTACCCAGGTCCTCTGCAAGAACAGCCAGTGGTCTTAATCACCACTGAACCATCTCCCTAGCCCCAAGATTTATTTTTGTCTTTATATATTTGTGTATATATTTATTTGCTATGTGTTTTCCAGTGCCTACAGAGGTTCATTTTGGCCAGAAGGTGGTTTCAAATCCCCTGGACCTGGAGTTTCAGTCATTTGTGAGCCATTGGACCATGGGTGCTAGGAACTGAACTTAAGTCCTCTGGAAGAGCACCAAGTGTTCTTAACCACTGACCCATATATCCAACCCCCATCCCAAGCTGAGCTTCAGCTTTCAGTCCTCCTGCCCTAGTTTTCCATGTGTTGTAATTACAGGAATGTACCCAGCTTTTAATTTATTTTTGTGGTGGTAGGGATTGGATCTAGGACAAATTCTTTACTGCTCAACTATACGCTCAGCCCTGCAGGGATGCTTTTAGCCCCTCACACGTACTTTTAAAAATAGAGTAATATGAGAGAGTGCTGGTTCCAGCCTCTGGAATAGGGCCTGAGAATGCAGGGGACTGCCTGAGAGCACCCGGATCCTGCCTCCACATGGTGATAAGAATTTTGGGAGTCTTTTAGATAGACCCACTGGAGGAGTACCCCAGTTGCCTCACCCTGTGTCCCTGTTCAGCATGGAAGAAGCCAGAGTGGTCTGCGTCCAATTCCCTATCCGCAAGTTGAGTAACCTCTTCAGAGGATGGAGTGATAAGAATATAGGAGGTAGGAATTCACTAAGCAGTTAGTGTAAAACCCCAAAGAAAAGTAGCCAGTTTCTTAGCTAAAAGTTAAAATGTCCTTGGTCCTTGGGCCTCTTAGCAATATACTCCATTCCTAAGGCCAAAAATATTGAAAGTATTTGGGAGCTCTTATCTAATCCTTAAAAGACTTTAGGGTTACCTCTTCAGAGGGGGGAGTGTTAGAGTAGCAAAAAAGCCCCATTAAAATAATAAATAGAGCACAGCCCTCCGCGCCTTGACTCCCCAAACCACATTCACCCTTCCATCTCCCCCGCTGTTCGCTACTCCCAGTTTGGGACCTGCGCCATTCCTAGTCTTGGGGACCCAGACACCTGGGGAACCAATACTGCTTCCTGATCCTGGTATTGTATATTGTATGACTGTATTAATTCAACTGTGAACCTAAAAATTTATAGTCACTTTTGAAAGAGATGTATCCTTGCTCTGGAAATTCTTACTGAATATGTTAAAGCTGTAATGAAATGCTGCTTCTAGTCATGTGGTTATTTAAAAAAAGAACAAGTACATGAAGTTATCAGAAAAAAAGTGATGAGATATGGGAGGAGTTGGAGGGAAGGGAGTGGATTTGATCAAAATACCTTATATGCTTATATGCCTGTATGGAATTCTCAATAAATTATTTTTTTTAATAGAGTAATATGCTAGGCCTGGTAGTGCATGCCTTAATGCCAGCACTTGGGAGGCGGAAGTAGATGGATCTCTGAGATTAAGGCCAATCTGGTCTAGATAGTCAGTTCCAGGCCAGCTGTGGCTACAGAAAGGCCCTGTCTCAAAAAGTGAAAATATGTGAGAATCAGAGTCTGTAACTTACAGGTCAAAGACTTAGGAATAAAGCACTCTGGTGTGCCATGGGGCAAGTCCTTTTATTTCTGAAAACAGTTCTCTGATCCACAAAATTGGCATATTACCATTCTGCAGAGTTAAGTAGATCAACAGTGATTTATGAAAACATTTTCAACTAGTAACTGACAAGTAATAAACATTCCATGTTTAATGTGTCACCCTACTGCAAGCCTAAAGTATTTGCATTGATAAGGTTTAACTCAATGTGCAAGACATGCTTCCTGTATATAATCTCAAAAGTCATTTCCACCCTCACCCCTTCATAGGTTGCTTTTAACTTTGACAGAGGAAGAATTTTCCAGGGCACCATATACCATAGAGAATAACAGCCACAGAAGAGTCATCCTCATGGAGTTGGAGCGTGTCAAAGCCCTGGGCGTGAAGCCCCCTCAGAATCTTTGGGAGTATA